GATGATTGCAGTGTAGAACTGCATCATCGTCCGTGTTGGCAGGTTGAATTTCTTCAGCTGCCTCAGGAAGTACATCCTCTGCTGGGCTTTTTTAATGACGGAGGTGATGGTGGGCTCCCACTTCAGGTCCTGGGTGATGGTGGTACCCAGGAAGCCCATGTTGAAGCCTTCAAACTTTAGTTTGAAAGTCTGTGACGTAGCAGATAAAGACTGTCAACTTTTATTTTGAAAATAGAGACTCAATGAACCCAAAACAAAGAAATAAAAGTTTAATTTTTAATTTCAGTCACTGAGCTTTTTTAAAACAAGCTTTTATTTAGAAAAATAAATCAATTAATTGATCTGCTAATTGAGGTGTGTCCAGCTGTGACATCACAGCAGCCTGAAAGCAAACCTGTGTTTAGGTTTACATCTAGATTTAAGGCGCTCACAGACATGTTCACCTTAAATCACATGTTTCAGGGGACTCCATGCAGGTGTTCACCTTTAAACACCTGCATGGCATCATCATCATCGTCGTTGCTGTCAGGTTACCTCAGGTCGTCTGCAGGTGTCGATGTGTCGCCGCTGGCTCGTCAGCACCTGAACAATCTGAATGAGGCCGAGCTGGTTCAACTCGTCACACCTGCGTTTCAAGCACTGAGCTCTGATTGGCTGACGGAAACGACGCCGACAGGTCTGATGTGTATCAGCTGATGTGAGCGGAGTCAGGAGCAGTTCAGTTTGATCCTCAGACACAGAGACGAGTTTAACTGGCCCAGGTGGAGGTGAGTCCCTCGTAACCTGCGACAGGCTCTCTATACCTGCCCATGAGGATCCCCTGGATCAGGGCCTCCTCTCCTCCAGGTGTTCACCTGCTGCAGGTGAGCCTCCAGAACTGATCCAGGACTGCCGTCAGACCAATGTGGAGGACTTTGAGCTTCTGCTGAGCGTAATGGTAGGATGGACAGTTGGTGGGGCTGGAGTCTCACCTGTGAATGGTTATAAATGAAAATCGGGGCGAGTTTGTTCTTTCGAAGCACTTCCAGCCAGGTGCAACTGTTGCCACGGTGACAGTGGCGTGATCAGAGCTGTTTGTTTGGACACAGAAGCTTGTGAGGAGTGGGAGCTCGCCTTGTCTTCATCGGTTTAAGAGCGGCTGAGTCACCTCATGGTTAGTCGCTGGTTGCCACGGTAACTGTGGACCAAGCTGAAGGACAGGCAGGCATGATGATGATGATGATGGTGATGAGGGGCTGATGGGAAATAAAACAGCTTTAAAGGAACATTCCCCCCATATGTGCCGTTTCAAAGCTGCTCATCTTGTTTTTCTGTCTCCCCCGCAGTGAAGCATCATGGGAGGTGGCAGATGGACGAGCCGGCCGTGGGCCGACCAGTGACACGCACACGCTGAGACACACACACACACACACACACACACACACACACACACACACACACACACACACACACACACACACACACAGCTTAAACACATTGGTAAGTACTGAGTGTGTGTGTGTGTGTGTGTGTGTGTATGTGTGTGTGTGTTTTACTGATGCTGTGGGGACCCACACGTGTTCTTGTTACTCACAATGTGGGGACAGAAAAACACGCATCATAACAGCTTTACAACACAACCGTGACACGACTGCCAGCACGCGCTGAGGTCTACAACGACTGCATCATTTTACCTGGATGCTGAAAATCACGTCTCTTACTTTATTTTTGTCATTTAATTATTTAACTAAAAATGAAATAAAATAAAACGAGTGTGATTAAAAAAGTGAAAGAAAAAAAAGAGTTGTAATAAAATAAAATTACATATAAAATCAGAATCAGATTAGAATAAAATTAGAAGTAAAAGACAAAATGCTTCCTGATCAGTAAGAACAAAGTTTTATATAAAACATCAGATCAAAGGTGAGACAGAGTGGGGTTGTTTCTGTGTCGGCTCGGTGCACAGAGGTCTTCTTATTCTCGGCGCTCCGACTGGCGCTGTCATCTTAATGAGCTGAGCAACAAACGCTGCATTCAGGCTCCCAGCGGGGACGGGAAATCTCAGTTTCCTGCCTGAAAAACACTTCAGCTCAGCTGTGACGCCATTCAGAGTTTTTAATGTCGTCTCCTTTAATGAGTTTCGTGTCCTTAAGCTCGTCACCTGCTATTAAACAGAACACACTTTTAAAATCTTTCACTGAGATATTTTATTTTACTTAGTGGTCGAGCCGTAGAGAAAGCCTCCTCAAACCCGGGTCTCTGAGGGACACGGGTCTCTGAAGGGTCGTTCTGAGCATCGATGACCGTTCCAAACTGAAATCATTGGTGCTCATGTTGATGTTTTTAGAGGCTGCTGCCATCTTTGCTCTTCTCTGACAAACACTTTCTTCCACAGAAGAAGCTGGCAGCAGAGCCCGACTACACAGACGTGTCGCTGACGGCGGCGGAACGCGTCCGAGCGCTGGGGAAGATGGGATGCTGCGTGGAGATCAACGAGGACATCGCGCCCAGACGCTACTTCCGCTCGGGCGTGGAGATGGAGCGCATGGCGGCGGTTTACCTGGAGGAGGGCAGCCTGGAGAACGCCTACGTCCTCTACACCAAGTTTATCACGTGAGGCTCAGTGGCGTTGGGGGCGGGGCTGCTTGGTGTTTCGCACAGCATGTGATGTGACGGCCGCTGTCTTTCAGTCTATTTGTAGAGAAGCTGCCCGCTCACAGAGACTACCAGCAGTGCACTGCCATCCCCGAGAAACACTTCATCATGAAGGTAACAATTGTTATGAACTTCCTGTTTTATTTTGAAGACGCTCACCTGCCTGCTCTTGAGCCACTTCTACTTCCTGTCTTTGTTTGTTTCCCCACCAGCTGCAGACAATCACCCAATCAGCCTGTGTGTTATCACTCCCAGCTTCCTGTTGCTCAGGTTGTTGCTCGCTGTGCTGCAGCTTTCCCCTCACCTCCTCCTGTAAGTGTTTTAGGTCGCTCCAGCTAGCAGCTGTTAGCTTCCTTTGGCCTCTGATGGCTCCAGGTAGCTCCAGCTACATCCAGCTAGCTCCTGCTGCCATGCTGGTTTAAAATCTGGCTCGATGGTTGTAACTCATCATTTGAGATGTGGTGGTTTGTCCTCAGATGTCGGTAGATATTCTCCAGGCTGCTTGTCGTTAGCAGTTTGTGGACAACACAGTGGCAGTTAGCTTCTGTTAGCGCTATGATGCTCGTCTTTCTCAGAGCAGCCTTCAGTCTGTCGCTCTTGTCTGAGTTGTTTTCCACGCTAGCAAATCTCCAGATCTGTGGGCCTGTTTCTTGTTGGTACTTAACAACCTTTGGTGCATCGATTCTGCCCATGAAGAGGCTTCAGCTGAGGCTTCAGGCCGGACTAACCATGCACTGTTTATTTTTTTAATCTTGGGATGTGGTGGAGTGTTAAAAAGTCAGGCTCAGAGTTGAACCAGGATTAAACGCTGTGCACTGCTGACACAGATCTGGCTCATACATCGAGTCTGTGGTTTGTTAGCAGGATGATGGAGATGTCACTCCACATGTTTAACACATGAACAAGTTTCCAGATCTCCTGCTCGATTTGTGCTCGGGGATGTTTCGACTGAGATCCTGTTGGCTGAAGCTGGTGGGCGGGGTGTTAGTGTTCAGGTGAGAGTGTCTGGTGGGTTGGAGCTGAGACAGATACTTGTTCGTTAATCAGCTGGCTTAAAAGTGCCGTGTTAGTCGCTGCGAGCAGGCTCGCCGCCGTCGTGTAGAAACATCTGTCCTGATGCTGAGCTCACGCTTTCACAGCTGCGTCAGAAAAGTCACGACCGTTTTTATCATGGTAGAAACACGAAAGTTTTCATCCCTGGAAGATTCTAGAAAACTGATCGTGCAGCAGAAACATCAGGAAACATCTGGAACTCGTGCAGTTGCCACAGCTGGAGCTTAAAGACCAGAAACATAACAGCTGGATTTCACTGAACTTTAAAAGTTGAATTTCTGGGTATCGGTCTGTGAGATGGCAGGCGAGGGCGACCATTTCCGCCCGTCTCGTCGTATTTGTTCCTTCCTGTTTTTGTTTTGAGCGTGTGTGTCAGCGTTTCCTTGGTTTATTCTTAAATGTGATGTTTCTAAGTAGGCGACACAATGGTGGAGCACAGGCTGACGTAGTTAAACTCGTTCATCGGTGTAAAGTTGGCTCGGCTGGTGGAAGACGTTTTTATAAGTGGTCGCTGGACGTCGCTGGAAACGTGTCCAGTCCTTAAACCAGACTTCAAATCTTTGTCTTGTTGTTGTGGCTGTGAAGGACTGCCTCCATCTGGCCCCTCCCCCTCATCACGCCAGCCCTACATCATGAATCCTCCTGAGTCCAGGTGGACCCAGAGTGACCTCTGTAAAGTCACACTCGTACATTTGTGCTGTTTTTGGTGCTCCAGCTGCCGTTCCTCAGGTGTTCCTGCTGCAGAACCACACCTGGTTCTGGTCCTGGTGTCTTTGCTGTGACCTGTTCTGTCTGTGCAGAAACTTCAGGAGGTGGCGTTTCCCCGTAAAGACGAGCTGAAGAAGCGCCTGGAGGAGAAATACAGCAGGGAACACAGCGAATACCTCAGAGCCCAGGTGAGTGAGTTTTCACAGTATTGATAATTGATCAGAGGAGCGCTCGGTATGGGAACGATCCAGGGGAACGATCCAGGGGAACGATCCAGGGGAACGGCCTCTGCGCGGTGAGTCCATCCCACCTGTCTTTCAGGTGAAGGTTAGCGTGTGACACGCCTGTCAGAGGTGACCTCCTACAGTGATGTTCAGACTAGTAGTCGTTTATTTTAGGTAAACTCGCCGCAGCCACCTGTACGAGCTCATCTTTGTTACCTCAGAGCCAGGCGGCGGTCGTGGTGCACGGGTGTGGCCAGCAGCTGCAGCAGCTGTCCCTATTGGACGAGGACAGGAGAAGGTTCCTGCTGCTGGAGGAGGAGAGGCAGCGCGTCGCCGCTCTGCGACGCATGCAGATTGAATCGGAACAGTTTCGCTACTTCGAGGACCAGCTGAGACGCCAGGAGCTGGCCAATAAGAGAGGAGTGGAGGCGGAGCAAAAGGTAGCGTATTCTTCATAGTACAGGCTTAAGGAATTTCTCGCTGGCTTAGTCTTCTCGACGCGGAAGCTGCGTCGATGTTTTGTTTCATACTGCAGTGCCTTTGGCAGCAGGACAACCTTCATGTACGGACCTGCCTCGTCCACAGGGAGCAACACTAGCTAACGTTAGCCAGCATTAGCTTACAAAGAGAGTCCAGTAAATGACCGGCTCAACACAAACTAACACTCGTGTCTCATTTTGACGTTAGAACTAGCTAAAGCTAACCAGCTAGCTGGTGTTAGCAGGGAAGCTAAGGTCGACCAGCTTTACACTCAGGATTAAACTCTAACCTGACTCTGAGCTAACGTTAGCCTGCCTACTAACAGATTAGCTTGTGAAGTACTGGTGTACTGTAATACTGGCTCAGCCTACTGAGTACTGTGAGTACTGTGTAGTTTGACTGTGTCTTTCATGTTTGTGTTGCAGGTTCAGACCAAAGTGCCTGAGGTGACAGACGGCTCCCGTCTGTCCCAGCAGCCAATCAAAAACAGCATACGATCCCTGGGGGCAGACCCTAACAGAAACAGACTGCCTGCCCCTGTGAGCCAACCTGCCGCCACGCTGGCTGGAGTACAGAGTCAGTACACAGTCACTCCGTTTACCTGCGTTTACTGCGTACCTGTCGTATGCGGTGCAAAAGGTTCAATCAGACCTCCACACAGACGTTACGCCCTCTTAAACCAGGTGTGTTTGTGTACAGGTGAGAGGGTGGAGGGCCTGAGGCGAGTCCTGATTCCCAAAGGGCTGACTCAGAGTTTCCTCTCGCTGGCCCGGTCAAACACGGCCAGAGGAATCGAGACCTGCGGCGTCCTCTGCGGACAGCTGGTGAGCAAAACGCACGTCCTGTCCCGCCCTCACCCATTTTCAGTCATATACCACCAGCCAAGCCCCGCCTCTCTCTCATTCTCAGACGCACAACGAGTTCACGCTGACTCACGTCGTAGTCCCCAAACAGACCGCCGGCCCGGATTTCTGCGACATGGAGAACGTGGAGGAGCTGTTCAGCTTCCAGGATGAGCATCACCTGCTGACGCTGGGCTGGATCCACGTAAGCATGCAAGCTGGGGGGAGGGGCTTGGAGGAGGTCCTGGAGCTCCATGATTGGCTCTTGTAGAGATGCAGTTAACCTTCTTCGTAGCAACAGCAGTTTGTGAGAACAGAAACAGTGCGACACTAAAATAAACTGTAAGGTTACCCGTCTGGTTAATGTCCTCACAAATGCCTCACTCGGGGCCTCTTTTGGTGAGTGGTTTGGTATCAAGTCCCCACAAGTGCTGTAAGCGAGCACACGTTCCTGAGAAAACCAGCGTTTCTCCTTCATTTACATGATCATATATCACCATGGAAACGGTGCCTGCGGTCGAGCAACAGATGAGCAGAGCGAGGGAGAGGTCTCACTCTGCACTCTCTCACCCTCCACGCGTCACTTCAGTCAGGGTTGTAGTTCAGTGTGTGTGAGCTCTGACCTCTGTGTTCAGACTCATCCCACTCAGACGGCCTTCCTGTCCAGCGTCGACCTCCACACTCACTGCTCATATCAACTGATGCTGCCGGAAGCCGTCGCCATCGTCTGTGCGCCAAAACACAGCGAGTAAGTCTGTCACTGGAGCACGCATGTATGCCGATTTCCCACGAGGCCTTTCAGCCCGCTAATGTCGCTCCGCCTGTCTCCCCCCCAGCACAGGTGTGTTCAGGCTGACCAACCTGGGGATGTCCGAAGTTTCTGCCTGCAAGCTGAAAGGTTTCCATCCTCACTCAAAGGAGCCGCCGCTCTTCACGGTGAGATCCTCGCCGAGGTCGACCTCATCGTCAGGATACCGCGTCCTGTGTTCAGCCCCGACTCTGAATCACCTGTAACCCGTCCTCTTTTGTCTCCTCAGGTGTGCAGACACGTCGTGTTCAGGGACTTGCGGCTTAACCTGCTGGACTTAAGGGTTTAGACAGGAAGCACTGGCAGGCTTTTATTCTGAAGAGGAAACTGTGAACGCACCGCCGGTGTTTGCTGACACGTTGTGATGTCAAATTTACAGGAAAGTTTTAACACTTTTAATTTTTGTTGTTTTTTTTGTTGTTGTTTGTTTTGTTTTTTTGCTGCTGAGCCACTGCAGATGGGGGGGTGATCTCAGGCCAGTGAGCTGCTCTGATTGGGCAGTTAATAAAAAGCTTACTGAGACCTAACCTCAGCTGATGCTGCCGTCACAGCAGCGCTGTGAAAATGGCGTCTGCAGAGACCCAGATTGTGCCAAGTTCCAGCGTGGGCCAAGCTCCCGTCGAGGCGACTGCCAGCGAGCCGTTTGAGACGCAGTTTGATGTTTTTAAATGAAAGATGGACTGGGAGCAGACGTGAGTGAGTGCCTCACCTGGAAAACGTGAACGTTGAAGCGTTGGCGCTCTCAAGGATGAAGTCTCTCCACGCTTCACTCAGACTAAAAATGACCTTTAACCGCCACAGCTTAGTTTCAGTGCTGAAATCCTGCTGCCATCTCTGACCCTGAATGCCTCGCGCGTCCACCTCTGAGCTTAAAGACAGGAAATCCTGATGTGGATTTCAGAATAAAACCTGAAGCTGCGCTGTCACCTGTGCAGTGTTTGCCCCGAGTCCTGCCTGTCAGGCCGCACCCGTCCTGCTGGGCCGCTGATCGCAGCGCTAAGGCGCCCCCGGTAGTCACCTGATATCCACCAAGCTTGGCTGTGACCTTACTTCCTGTTAGGCAGCTTCCCTGACACTCTGATTGGCTGTGGCGGTTCAGTCTTGTGAGGTTTGGTCAGAGGTGAAAGTCATTCTTTGAGCTCTTCGCTGCTGCAGATGTGAAACTGTGAGGAGACTCTTAACACTCTGTCATTTTAGGCGAGACCGTTCACGCCATAAGCTACTCTGACCTTTGACCTCGAGTGGGGTGCCATGTAAGGGGTGGCAGACAGCAGGGGGCGCTGCCGGTGTGTGTCGTGTAACGCTGGCTGGCGTGGCGCTCACAGCGGCCCCTTTTAAACTTCTTGCAGATGAAATTATTTTCTGATGTTTCTCTCGTGGTGCGTTCAAAGCGCCCCGCAGCTGGAGGACTTCTCAGTGTGTGCGCCAGCAGATGTTTTCTTGTTGAGCTGTTGTGTGACTGTTTTTTTTGCTGATGACGTTTTGACAAACTGTGACCTGACTGCTGTTTTTAACTTTTTGGTAATAAAACACTCTGCTGCTCTAGCACCTGTATGCGTCTGTTTTTTGATTAAAAGTGTCTGAAACTGATCGCTCCACCCACCCACTCTGATCGCTCCACCCACTCAAACCCAGACTGCTCAGATCTTTAACTTCTCACACAAACTTGCTTTGAGAGGAAAAAGAAAGACGCAGTACCATCTGCAGGCTGACGCTTCACTTTGTTTGGAGGATTTCTGCACTCTAACTGCGGCTCTGTGGGACAGAAACTAAACTGTGGCGATGATTGGAGCCCTCCTGCTACGAAGTATTCGAGCATTTGGTGTGTGACTGAGGGGTGTGATGGCAGCAACCTGACACTAATACTCAAAGACACGAGCCCGTTTGTGAGCAGCGTCGGTTGGACTTGTTTAAAAACACTGTTCTTAGCGCTGCAGCAGCGAGTACAGACTCTCTCGTACAAACTCATCTCCCTCTGCAGGACCTGTGGAAGTCCTGCAGAGGGAGATGAGTTTGTATGAGAGAGTCTGTGTTAGGATCATCATCATTTGGTGATTCTGTTCTCAGACATGGTTAATGGACTGATTCTTATATAGCGCTTTTCTACTCTCCCGGAGTACTCAAAGCGCTCTATACAACATGCCTCATTCACACCCACTCATATACACGAGTGCAACCTAACCTGTATTCGCACGCATTCACACGCCGATGAACCTGGAGGGCAAGGCTACTTGGCATGCAGACTGGGGAAGCCAAGGATCGAACCAGCGACCTTCCGATCAGCTGATCTGCTCTACCATCTGAGCCACAGCCACCCCGACATGTGAAGCTAGAGACACCGGCAACCATGGTCAACTGTCTTCCAGGGGCCAGAGCTAAAACAATGTGGGACTCTGTAGTTTTCTCTGGTCCCCTCCCCAATCAGACCAGCAGTGACATGTTTAGCCGCATGTTCTCCTTAAACTGCTGTCTGAGTGGCGTCCCAGAAACGATGTGGGCTTCATGGATAACTGGCAAACCTTCTGGAGGAAACCTGGTCTTGTTAGGAGTCAAGTCATCTTTATTTATACAGCACATTTAAAAGACATCAAGTGTCGGCCAAAGTGCTGAACTGAGGGATGATATAATAAAAGAATTAAAGTAGAAAGAAAACATTTTAAAAAGGAATTGTAAGACATGTAAGAGTATATAGCATATAATGTACATGCAAATATGCACATACATATACAAAACTGTACACATTCACACACAAGCACACATATGTGAACATAATGTATATGCACATGCAACATCATCCAATAAGATGAGAGACCAAATAGACAGAATAAAAAAGATATCAAAGAGATCCGAAAGCCTTGGAAAATAAGTAGGTCTTGAGATTCGATTTAAAGACTTCTAAGGATGAAGAGGATTTTATGAAGGGGGAAGACTATTCCAGAGTCTCGGGGCGGCCATGGAGAAAGCCCTGTCACCTCTAGATTTGAGCTGGGAGCGTGGAACGGATAAAACCATCTGACTGGAGGAGCGCAGAGATCGAGTGGGTCGGTGCAGGCTAAGAAGATCTGAAATGTAACCTGGAGCCAAACCATGGAGAGCTTTAAAAACAAATAGTAAAACCTTAAAATCGATTCTATGTTTAAGTGGCAGCCAATGTAGAGATGCGAGTACCGGGGTAACATTCTCTCTCTTTCTAGTGCCTGTCAGGAGCCTTGCGGCTGCATTTTGAACAAGTTGCAGGCGTGACAGACTCGAGTGACAGATGCCTGAATAGAGAGAGTTACAATAGTCAAGACGTGACGATATGAAAGCAACAGGTCTTTAGGTGACAGGATATTTTTGAGTTTCGAAACGCTCCTGAGTTGGAAAAAACTGCCACGAACGACTGGATTTATTTGCTTGTCCAGCTTGAGAGTGGAATCAAAAATGAAACCAAGATTTTTTACACGGGGATGTACATGAGCTGATAATGGGCCCAAATTGTTTCTTTTGAGACTAATAGAGTCCTGCTTACCGAAGATTATAATGTCGTAGCTGAATGAGGTCTCGTCTCTTCAGTGGGTCTCAGGCTCCGCCCACCCTGGTTGCACTCTAGGATGAACACCTGTCTCGGGTGGGTCTGCAGGAAGGGGTTATGCAGTCTGCTGGTCGTTAATGTTTACACTAATAAAGCTTTTTTGTTCATGCCTGTCGCGTCCGGAACTGTAGAAATCACAATTATTGTCTGAAGGCCGATAAAAATGCCCAACTGATTTTATTTTGCCAAACGGATCATTACGGCTTTGCCACACTGGTCCACTTGATTTATCTTTATTATTTAATAAAGCTGTATTGAAATGTTTAAGTCTTTACTGTCAGCAGCTGCAGTTCCAGCACGGACCACCAGGTGGCAGTACATCCCCCAGGACTTGTTCCCACTGCTGAGTTCAGTAAAGTTCACTTATTTTCAGTTTTACTGTTTATCTGCTTCACTCTTAATCAGCTTTGGTTGCTATGACAACAAAGTTCAGCTCAGGTGAATAAAAGAGCGACGCCGTTCAGGTATGAGAGCGCTTTATTGTCTTCCTGGGTTCATTCAACCGCCACTTCCACGTTCACATCACCACCTTGTCAAATGTTACTAATACAGATAGCACCACGAGGTCACACCTACCCACAGGTCAACAGCAGTGACATCATCATAGCGCCGCGTGAATGTGATCGATAGAAGACGACACCAGCGGGCAACATTCAAGCTTTATTCATCAAAAATAAAAACGCACTTTCTGACAGGAAACAGCACCAACATGGAGCTCAGAGGGGGCGGGGCCACAGGTGGAATGTGGGGTGGTGGGGTTGCAGAGGGCAAGCGGCACATTCACAGTTTGAAGGTGAGCAGAGAGGGAAGATGTTTGACTTTCTGGAAGTTCTTCAAAAACAAACATGACATCACTTTCTGTCCTCTGAAGTTAACGCTGTTGAGCGCTCTGACTTCCTGTCGTCCCTGCGGGCCTGATTTCTGTGTCTGATCTGGGGTCTGTTAGCGGGTGCTCAGTGCAGGCTAAAATAACGTTGTGCTAAAGGCGAAGGGGGCGGGGCTTGAAGGCCCGGGCGCAGCCTTTAGAAGCACTTGCGGTGGACAATGGAGGGTCCGGCCTCGTCGTACTCCTGCTTGCTGATCCACATCTGCTGGAAGGTGGAGAGCGAGGCCAGGATGGAACCGCCGATCCACACCGAGTACTTCCTCTCCGGGGGAGCGATGATCTGAGAGAGGGGTCAAAAGTTAACTAATTTTCTGCTGAATGTGAGTGAGCCTCAGTGAGGTCGTCAAGCCTCACCTTGATCTTCATGGTGCTGGGGGCCAGAGCGGTGATCTCCTTCTGCATGCGGTCTGCGATTCCCGGGTACATGGTGGTTCCCCCAGACAGCACGTTGTTGGCATACAGGTCTTTACGGATGTCGATGTCACACTTCATGATGCTGTTGTAGGTGGTCTCGTGGATACCGGCCGACTCCATACCTGCAGGAGGACCGAGGACCAGATGCTGGGTTAGAGAGGTTCAATCAGCCATCAGTGTTACAAAAGACCCGTTGACGGAGCGAACAGTCGAATCTGAGCTTTTCTCGATCGTCAGCATTGGAGAATCTGCTGATTGTCTTTGTTTTTTGGGTCTGAAGATGTTCGGACACATCAGATCAAGTATTCAGGAGTGCAAACTCAACAGATTAATAAAACAAAAAAAGTGCTTTATTAAGTAGCAGAGTTCTACTCTAACCAGGTACAGGGACAGACAGGCAGGAGGCACCGACCGATGAAGGAGGGCTGGAATAGCGTCTCAGGGCAGCGGAACCTCTCATTGCCAATGGTGATGACCTGCCCGTCAGGAAGCTCGTAGCTCTTCTCCAGCGAGGACGAGGTGGCGGCTGTCCCCATCTCATTCTCAAAGTCCAGAGCCACGTAGCACAGCTTTTCCTTGATGTCCCGCACGATCTCTCTCTCCGCTGCAGGCACACAGACAGACAGACCGGGTCAGAAACATCATCACAGGTGACTCTGACATTACCTGGAAGTGGGCGTGACCTACCGGTGGTGACAAAGCTGTAGCCTCGCTCGGTCAGGATCTTCATGAGGTAGTCGGTGAGGTCGCGGCCCGCCAGGTCCAACCTCATGATGGCATGAGGTAGGGCGTAGCCCTCGTAGATCGGCACATTGTGGGTGACGCCATCACCTGAGTCCAGGACGATACCTTGAGGGTAGAGAAACAGGACAACTTTGATTAATAACCTTTAACTTTAACCTTTAAACCCACAGTTTTCAATCCGTCACCGTGACAACAAATATAATTAGAAACAGTGCAGCCATTCTCGCTGCTATGCAGATTCAGATCAAACTGAGGTTATTGTACTCGGCCCTGAAAATCATAGAAATATGGTCTCTAACCAGATTCTTACTCTGGATGGCATTAAGTTGGCCTCCAGTAACACTGTGAGGAACCTTGGAGTCATGTTTGACCAGGAGTAAAGCACCAAAACTAAGATGAGATTGTGATTAAGGAAAGTAGGAGGTGTGGTCCAACCTGTGGTACGTCCTGAGGCGTACAGTGATAGGACGGCCTGGATGGCCACATACATGGCAGGAACGTTGAAGGTCTCGAACATGATCTGAAAACAAAAAAATCGTGGAAATATTTAGTGTTAACCATCAATCTGTGTTCCTCCAGGAACAGACAGAAGAATCCAAAACCTGCAGTTCCTTTAGCATCCAGCAGAGGCAGCAGTGCGTCAGCCCCCCACATACTTCCACGTTGAAACTTTACACCAAAAATAAACATTTTTAAAGCCTGATGCACAAACTGTTTGGTCTCTGTAGATAATTTGCCCTTCTTAACATCTGTTTTTAAATCATATTAAGTTTGCATTATTAGGGGCGTGGTTACTTTGGCTGACAGGTGGATAGTGACACAGGTGGCTGTAGCTGCTAGCTGCCTGCTAGGCTTTGCCTCAGCTAATTGGAGCACATGAACTGGGCCTCTGGACCCAGTGTTGTGCTGGTGGAGCTTTTTGGAGCATTTTAAATGATGTAATGTGACCAGTAACATGGCTGCTGTAAGGTCACTGTGCTAACAGATAATCCCAGGAGGCTTAGATCCAGTTTGCTGAGTGTATGTTACTGATTAGCAGGTATCTGTGTCTGTGTGATAAACCTGTACAGTGTGTGGATACAGACTGATAGCCAAGAAAACTAGCATTAGCTTATAACTTTCAGCATTCCACCCGCTGACCAAATATGTTCACTTCCTGAAGCAAAAACCCACTACGGCAGTACCCATAAACTTAAGATCTAAAATCTGACTTTGAAAAAATTAATGGGTGATGTCATGATGTCCATTTTTTATCTACAGTCTGTGGGATACCTGCTTCAT